AACAACAACAATTACAATCAATTCAAGATCATCATATAAGGCAAATTCAATGAGCATTAATTGCTTACTGATCGATCGCTGCCTTCTGGGAAGTTGCAAATTCATTTCAGTTCTAATGCTTCAAAATATTATGCAGAATGATTGACGTTCCGAAATATCGTCAGCGAATTTACTAGCCAAATTTCAAGTTGCATCATTTTCTAATCGTAAGATAATGCATTTTCAAATCGCAATTGAAACCAAAAACAACAACAACAAGATATTGAAAATATAAATGCATTCTATGAATGATTAAAATTATTCAACACAATCATAGCAAAGCTCAGTAACTATCGTTAGAATAGAGCAACATGTCAACAAAATAAAGAAATGAATTCGTGAAAATAAGTAAGGCATAAATGGAGTTTTGATTCAGACGCAAACTTCGGTTGAATTACTCCTTTTCATTGTTGTGCTATCAAAGTTGACCGAAATATTCAAGCATGTATACATATATAGTGGAAACCTGAGTACATTAATCATTGAAGGATCGAATTATATTATACAACAGTGCTTCTTCTTTGTGCTCGGTCTAGGCACTAATACAGAACGTACTGCTTCCTCGAATACCTGCAATTAGGCCGGAAAATACATAATGAACCGAAACCACATCACCTTCGATACATTTCTCTTATAATTAATGACACGTACGATCAACTGAAATCTGCTCAGAAACATACACAAACAGCTAAGGAACGTGTAATGGTAGCCACTATCTCCAGCCTACCTATAGAGGAATTTTATTCCACGAACGAACGTATTGCGAAAATAAAAAGAAACGTTAGTTTATTGATAACAAAAGTATCAAAATGAAACGAACAGCTTTCAATCCCTGTTGTGTGAGAGCACTGCACTCCAAATATTTTGCGGCTCGGATCTTCTTCGCTATTCGTTGACCTTGTGATTTGGTTACTGGTTGTTTATTTTCACCGCTTAATATCCTCAATGTTTCCGGATCATCACGCAGATCTAATTTGGTTCCTTCAAACAGAATTACTATTACATTTGGTATTATTATTAGATCTAATTACTATTACAGATCTAATTTGGTTACTATTACATTTCACACAAACAACTACTCTTCTGCTTAAACCAATGAATAAAAGTAAATAAGCGATGAATAAGTTCTCAAAAGATACCAATCAAAATAATCGGGGAATCAGGGCAATGATGTCTGATTTCAGGAATCCATTTGGATGTAACGTTGTCAAATGATACCGGCGATACAATACTAAAACACAACACGAACACGTCTGTTTGCGGGTAACTTAATGGACGCAGCCTATCGTAGTCCTCCTGAAGTTTCATTACTGTACAGCGTGACAGGTTTAATAATAATAATAATAATAATC